TTGGTGAAAGTGCTGAAAAGGGCTCTAACAGAAGATGAGGACCTCTTATATGTGAGGAGTGGGAATTTAACGGCAGAGAGGGGACGTAAGGATACTGAGTGACCGAGGGGAGATGGTAAATGACAGGTTGAAAAGGGGACTGGGAGAGTGTGTGGAAGTTGAACATCACCCGAGGGAGGGTACGTGGGAATGCGGCAAGGTCACCGTTTGGAAGGAAGAGATATCAGATCGAATTTAGGATGGATGAGGCCAAATCAAAGCGCGGGCGGTAGAGGAGAAAATATCAGGTCGATATTTGCTACGATAGGAGAGGGGGAGACGCAAGACCGACTGGAGAAGGTCAGGTCGTAATAAGATTAAGAAATTGGTGAGGCCAATTCGACTTTGAAAGGGCATGCAAGGGAAGAGGACAGGTGAACATATGGCGGGTAGGAAAGGTGACGAAAACAGCTATTTAAGATAAAGTTTCAGATCGGGAGAAAGGGAGAGACAGGGACAGAAGAGGGGGGCTGATAAGAGGGAGATGGAGAGGAATAGGATAACGAAGCTTCTGCAGCAGCTGAGCGACACAGCTGTTGCATCAGCTGAGCGACACAGCTGTTGCATCAGCTGAGCGACACAGCTGTTGCATCAGCTGAGCGACACAGCTGTTGCATCAGCTGAGCGACACAGCTGTTGCAGCAGTAGTAACGAGAGGGTCAATAATAAACGAATCAAGACAACCTTCCCTCACTTATCAGATTACCAATCTGTAATATCTTGTTTCCATCTCTTTCCATGTTTTTGTTATTCTATTCTCTCCCTCGTTCATCATTCCCCCTCTCGTCTCTCTGCTTCGCTTTACATTTACATTATTCTCTCTTGATTTCATTGTCTGATCTTCGCTTCGTGCTTTTCTTTTTGCAGTTCATTATATGAGTTTACCAGGACGGCCGCCAGGGTGCAGTTACCGCCCGGTGATCAGCTGTTGTCACATTGTCTGATGCCCGACTTTTTGTTTTAGCTGGGACACACACACACACACACACACACACACACACACACACACACACACACACACACACACACACACACACACACACACACACACACAATGAAGGGGAACAGCCTACCTGTAACGACGCGTGAAAGAGACCTGGGGGTGGACGTAACACCTAATCTATCTCCTGAGGCACATATTAATAGGATAACGACAGCAGCGTACTCTACACTGGCAAAAGTTAGAACATCATTCAGAAACCTAAGTAAGGAGGCATTTAGGGCGCTTTACACTGCCTACGTAAGGCCAGTCTTAGAGTATGCCGCCTCATCATGGAGTCCCCATCTGAAGAAACATATAATGAAACTGGAAAAGGTTCAGAGGTTTGCAACGAGACTCGTCCCAGAGCTACGAGGGATGGGGTATGAAGAGCGCCTGAGGGAATTGTGCCTTACGACACTAGAAAGAAGAAGGGAGAGGGGGGACATGATAGGAACGTATAAGATACTCAGAGGAATTGACAGAGTGGACATAGACGAAATGTTCACACGGAATAGTAACAGAACGAGAGGACATGGATGGAAGCTTGAAACTCAGATGAGTCACAGAGATGTTAGGAAGTTTTCTTTTAGCGTGAGAGTAGTGGGGAAATGGAATGCACTTCAGGAACAGGTTGTGGAAGCAAATACTATTCATAATTTTAAAACCAGGTATGATAGGGAAATAGGACAGGAGTCATTGCTGTAAACAACCGATGCTCGAAAGGCGGGATCCAAGAGTCAATGCTCGATCCTGCAGACACAACTGGGTGAGTACTGGGTGAGTACACACACACTGAAATTGTGTGGAAGATATTGAAATTACCAGAGATGAGGTTAGGAGGTATCTGCTTGATCTAGAAGTGACTAAGGCCGTTGGACCTGATAGAATCTCACCATGGATGCTAAAACAGGGGGCAGAAGCACTTTGCATGCCACTATCTATGGTCTATAACAAGTCACTGGAAACGTGAGACCTACCAGAGAGTTGGAAGACAGCTAACGTAGTCCCAATCTATAAAAAGGGGGGGATAGTCAAGAGGCCCTAAACTACATGCCGGTGTCTTTAACTTTTACACCATGCAAGGTGATGGAGAAGATCGCGAGAAAAAGGCTGGTAGCACATCTGGAGAGAAGGGACTTTGTAACACGTCACCAGCAAGGGGTCAAGAAAGGCAAGTTTAATAGAATTCTATGACCAAGCAACAAGCTTTAAGTAAGAAAAAGAAGGATGCGCAGACTGCATTTTCTTGGACTGTCAGAAAGTTTTGACACAGTACCCCACAAGAGACTGTTGAATAAGTTGGAGAAACAAGCTTGAGTTAGGGGTAAGGTGCTCCATTGGATAGGGGAGTACCTAAACAACAGGAAGAAGAGTTACTGTGGTAGGGGGGCGGGGAGTGAGACCTTAGACTGGCGTGATGTCACCCGCGGAGTCTCACGGGGTTCTGTACTTGGACCTATCCTGTTTCTGATATACGTGAATGATCTTCCAGAAGGTATAGACTCATTCTTTCAATGTTTGCTGATGATGCTAAAATTATGAGAAGGATTAAGACAGAGGACAGCAAGAGGCTACAGGATGACCTGGACAGACTGAAGGAATGGTCCAACAAATGGCTACTAAGGTTTAACTCGAGCAAGTGCAAAGTGATGAAGATAAACACAGGGAGCAGGAGGCCAAACACAAGGTACCAGCTGGGAGAGGAAATCCTTCAGAAGTCAGGACGAGAGAAAGATCTTGGGGTTAATATTACACCAGACCTGTCCCTTGAAGTCCACATCAAAAGGATAACATCAGCGTCGTATGCAAGGCTGGCAAACATAAGAACTGCCTTCAGAAACTTGTGTAAGGAACCATTCAGAACTTTGTACACCTCATATGTCAGACCAGTACTGCAAGTACATCATGTTATGTCCTTGTTGTAGTACATCATGTTGTAGTGTTTTTATTGTAGCATATCATGTTGTAGTGTTCTTATTGTGGTGTTGTTGATGCAGCAAAACATTATAAAGCGTTCTTATTTCTGGTGTTGCAAATGCTGCCAGTCCTATCCAGTCCGTGATAACATTTAACGGTCCAGTGGATCCCGAAAATATTGCAGTCGTTTAAGAGGATCTTATTAATTATAATTAAACATCGTGTAAAAATCACGCATCGTTAGGCATCTTGTCTCTAATTACTTAGAGGCAGGATTACACCCAAATCTTTTCTGCAAACTTACCCAATCCGCCTTGAAGAGAGGAGCTTGTGACGTAACTTATAACTCAGTTTCTCTTGTCAGTTTGGTATTATTTGTTAAATTATTTATATTATCATCGGATACCATTATACCATTATAATGCATACCATTATATATATATATATATATATATATATATATATATATATATATATATATATATATATATATATATATATATATATATTTATATATATATATGTGTGTGTGTGTGTGTAAATTACAAATAAATTAACACGTGAAGGAAGGATTAAGACAGGAATTTCCTTAAGTACTTTCGTATTTAATAAAATCTAATCAGAAGGATCCTTCTGAAGATGTATTATTAAATATATAAAAGTACTTAAGGAAATTCCTGTTTTAATCCTTGATTCGTGGTTTGACAGTGCCATATATGAATATATACACAGCACATACAGAGCTGTATTTGTTTTGCATATATTCTTCATATATAGCGGTCGTCACTGCAATCTAAATCATCGCCACATTAGTAAACACCGTGACCACAATCATCAGTTCAATAATTCGCTTCTTCCTCATTTCATCTATTATCACCTATTTCTTCCCAACTACTTTCCTCCAATGTGGATATTTCTAATCCTCATTTCATCAACTCTCTGTACTTGTTAATCGTTCATAATATATCATTTATTATTTCTCATTTTCCCAGAGACTCATCATGTTAATATCTGTTTCGCTTTTCCTTCACCACGTCTTTAATCCACTTTGTCTCTCACTCGGTTTATTCTTTCCATCTGCGTTTTTAATTTACTTCGCTAACCTCTTCATCACGTTCGTCAATCATTTCTACGTTCTTCTCCCCTCCTCACTTAATTACCTCTTAGTTTCTTATCCCACACTTCCGCAAGTTGGAATAGGGAAGGAGAAACAGTGGAGGAATGGAGAGAGGATGGTGATTGGAAGAAGGGTGGAAAGCGAGGGGTAGATAATTGAAGGAGGGAAAGATAGATGACAACGATAATTTGGAGGAGGGGACGGGTGGATGTGAAAAAAGTAACTTGTGTAGAAGGGAATATGTAGATAACTGACAAAATGGATGGATGGATAAATGTATTATCTGACATGTTTTATCTGCGACCTTCAACAGTCTCTCCTACCTCCCTCTGCCTCTCCAACCTTCCCTAGGTAGAAGAGGCAGCTACCTCCAACTGGCTCCCCTGGCACCACACCAGCCAAACTCACATTTCACACTCATAAACGCCCGACGCTCACTCAAAAATTTAACCCTGGCCTCATGAGCTCCCTCATAAAGAGTTTAATAAACAAGAAATGTCTCTCGCGGGCCACTCGCTTGTGGGGGAAGCAGCAAGCAGGGAAAAATAATAACAAAAGTCAGAAAGAAGAGTAGAGACTTATTCCTTGGAATTGTAAATATTAATTAGTAGTTTTTTAATCGAAATAGATAATGATGTACTCTGATCTTTTTAATGCATAAAACAAATGAATTAAAACTGACGTAAGCATGGAGAGTCATATACCTGAAGGTGAAACAAACAAGATTTGAACATTGTGTACTGTCTGTATGCTGTTAATTTGTTATATAACTTAAAGGAAATATCTAATTAGAAAATAGTAACTCGTTTCAATAGTAAAGTTTTACTTGTAAACTTAGAAAAGCATGAAATCAATTACATTGCGAAGGTTGACGCAGAGGATATATTTCAACTCATTCAGAGTAACTTTCTGTTTTACTTTGTCTCCTACAGGTCACCTGCTTACAGTAGGTGACCTAACATCACTGCTCACAGTAGGTGACTTAACACCACTGCTCACAGTAGGTGACCGAACACCACTGCTCACAGTAGGTGCCCTAACACCACTGCTCACAGCAGGTGACCTAACACTACTGCTCACAGTAGGTGACCTAACATCACTGCTCACAGTAGGTGACCTAACATCACTGCTCACAGTAGGTGACCTAACACCACTGCTCACAGTAGGTGACCTAACACCACTGCTCACAGTAGGTGACCTAACATCACTGCTCACAGTAGGTGACCTAACATCACTGCTCACAGTAGGTGACCTAACACCACTGCTCACAGTAGGTGACCTAACATCACTGCTCACAGCAGGTGACCTAACACTACTGCTCACAGTAGGTGACCTAACATCACTGCTCACAGTAGGTGACCGAGCACCACTGCTCACAGTAGGTGACCTAACATCACTGCTCACAGTAGGTGACCTAACATCACTGCTCACAGTAGGTGACCGAGCACCACTGCTCACAGTAGGTGACCTAACATCACTGCTCACAGTAGGTGACCTAACATCACTGCTCACAGTAGGTGACCTAACATCACTGCTCACAGTAGGTGACCTAACATCACTGCTCACAGTAGGTGACCGAGCACCACTGCTCACAGTAGGTGACCTAACATCACTGCTCACAGTAGGTGACCTAACATCACTGCTCACAGTAGGTGACCGAGCACCACTGCTCACAGTAGGTGACCTAACATCACTGCTCACAGTAGGTGACCGAGCACCACTGCTCACAGTAGGTGACCGAGCACCACTGCTCACAGTAGGTGACCGAGCACCACTGCTCACAGTAGGTGACCGAGCACCACTGCTCACAGTAGGTGACCGAGCACCACTGCTCACAGTAGGTGACCGAGCACCACTGCTCACAGTAGGTGACCTAACATCACTGCTCACAGTAGGTGACCTAACATCACTGCTCACAGTAGGTGACCGAGCACCACTGCTCACAGTAGGTGACCTAACATCACTGCTCACAGTAGGTGACCGAGCACCACTGCTCACAGTAGGTGACCTAACATCACTGCTCACAGTAGGTGACCTAACATCACTGCTCACAGTAGGTGACCGAGCACCACTGCTCACAGTAGGTGACCTAACACCACTGCTCACAGTAGGTGACCGAGCACCACTGCTCACAGTAGGTGACCTAACATCACTGCTCACAGCAGATGACCTAACACTACTGCTCACAGTAGGTGACCTAACATCACTGCTCACAGTAGGTGACCGAGCACCACTGCTCACAGTAGGTGACCGAGCACCACTGCTCACAGTAGGTGACCTAACATCACTGCTCACAGTAGGTATTATACAAGTGAATTTCTAAACGATGCCATAACAGATGCAGTTAAATTAATTATTCATTAAAACGAGTAATGTAATTAAGGTGTTGACCATATAAGCCAAGACAGATCTCAAATAGTTTAAAATTAGATCAAATTAGATACAGAAATATGTTAAAAAAAGTGGTTAGGCAAAATTTGTCACAGATTAGGCAGTATGATAGAAATCAAAACATTGGGCAGCTTGAAGAGAAATTGTACACGTCTACTTTTTTTTACTTAGACTTCTACTTTAAGTAGACAATGTCTACTTTTAGACGTAGACGTCTACTTTTTTTTAAGCTTGATATTCAAACATTTGCGAGCTGCTTGTGTCACTTAGCATAGTAGCGTAACCAATTTTCCATTATACTGTTGAGCTTAAAGCACATAACCCACCAGATGAAAATGATTATTTTTGTTTTTTCACTCTCCCTTGTTTGAGTTCCTTCATCACTGACCTCTTTACCTGCCTCGGGAAGCACCTTTCTAAGAGGCCGAAGGTGCAAACGTGTCGTGTTGTGATTGATTACTGAGAGAGAAAGTGAAGGCTGCACTCAAGGACCGACCAACCATACAGATAACGCTCATCATCTTCACTGTCTTAGCAAAGAATAGAATGAGTCGGTTAGCATCATCGTCAGAGTTCCGGTAACTTGCGCCAAGTGCAGCCCTGGGCCCCCCTCTTTTCATACTGACTTTCGCTGCTACATAACTGACAACGTCAGAGAGCTGGCGGCTGTGAGCCCGGAATGTTTGCTCATGTAATATTCATGCTCTTTGATGTTTACATTTGATTTAATTCCACCCCATTTTTCCCGCTTCAAAATGTCAAATATTAATAATTTACTCGGATAGAGAGTGCAAACGTTTTCTTAATGCAGCAGTTGTTGAATTGAACAACACAGCGAACTGCAAGCTAGGGTTGTGTAACGTAGTGCTGCAGACTCCCAAAGACACACATTGCGGTAAAAAGCATAGGAGACCTTGTTTAAGGTACTGCACAGATCCATAAACAATTCTGGACGTCTCCAATAAGTTCTACTTAATATTATTTACACGTTAGCAGGTTTATCGTATTTGGAAATGAAGTCGAACTGGCAATAATGGGTCAAAATCCTTCAACTATTGTCAATCACTTAAAGGATGTTTTATTTATTATAATCTAAATGATCATTTACCCACCGATCGCCAACATTTTCACGCTTAAATAGTACACAATCGACTTGATAACGGTCCAGGACGGACCACAACGTCGTCGTCTCATCTTCTAGTGCGTGGTCTGGTCATCACATAATCAACACTTATATTTGCAGTGCTAATACTAGCATCATTACTGTTATCTTAACTTGTCTCACTAACAATAATAGCACCATAACTATCATTTACACAAATCTCACTAATCTTCCCCCTCTCTCTCTTTCCCTTTTGTCCCGTCTCTTCTCATCTTCCCAGCACTATCTTTACCACCTTTATTTAGGGAGAATCAAAATTAAAGAAATTTGACATTTAATGAAAAGAGAAGACATGTGGCTTGACCACGAGTACTGTACCTAACCCCGACCATTTACCCTTTAAAGTTTCGTGAAGCTAGCCCCAATCATCTGGCCGCCTTTAGACAGACAGACAGACAGATAGACAGTACTCTCTATATATATATATATATATATATATATATATATATATATATATATATATATATATATATATATATATATATATATATATATATTTATATATGCAACACTCAAAAGGAAAGTCTGACGAAATGTGATATAATATTCAAAACATAATATTCAAAATATTTGAAAAAAAAATATTTTGAACAAAAATATTCAAATTCAATTTTCTACCCGAGTTTTAGTCAATGCCTTGGGGATCCCCCCATTTCGAAAACTTTTAAACAATATCAATATTTTTGTGTTGCTCTAATACGTTAAGTTTCCAAGTTACATTAAAAAAAACTTTCTTATCCCTTTCAGCAAAGTGGATACTGAGACCTACGTGGCTCTGGCATCCTTTAGCCTTATTGACAGTAGAGAAAACTGAGGTTAAACGTAATTTCCTCTCGAATTTGGAGCTGCGTCAGTCCATATGAAGTTTTCCAGTCCTTCTCAGGACATGTCTACGGAACTTATTTTTATTTTACTTTGAATTGGTAAAACTATGTTAATGCGTTTTATTTGCATATCTATAATAAAGACATTTTGCATACAAGGGGCTGTGTAGTGATGCTATTGTGAACAAGGCGCTGTGTAGTGATGGGGCTGTGTACAAGGGAGTAGGTGTACATGAGGCTGAGTATAGATGTACAAGGGCTTGTCACAACCTTGTCATGCTCCGTTAATTACTGCTCATGTAATCGTGACCATGTAATTATTATTCCTATTATTTGGAAAAAATGTAATTTAAATCAAATTAAATATTCTCAATATATTTTCATTATCATTAACATTTTTATTAAATTAACTATTAAATTAAACCTATTAATTCAGGAATCCATCTTCCACGGACGCCGGTGTTGCTATTGCAACTGCTGTTACTACTGCAAGCAATGTTGTCGCAAAGTAATAGCAACACTGTAATCAACCACAGCCGTCAGGACCTGACAATTATCTCTAGTGTATTGACACAGACGACCTTCCCACCATTATTGAATTGCTGGCTGCTGTTGTTGCTGCTGTTGCTGCTGTTGGTGTTGCTGCTGTTGTTTTTGCACCAACTGCAGTTGATATTGCTGTTATTTCTCCTTATAATTATGCTGCTGCTGCTGTTGATGCTGAGGCAATAATATGATCACCGAGAATGGTCTTAGTTTTTCTGACTCTAACATAGCCGTAAGTTTCGTAGGTGTTGCATTAAGGATTTTGCAATTTGGAGCGAGGCTTTGGTAAGCCAAGAGATGATATTAATGTGTATATTCTATTTTGCACGCCACTGAAGTTACTTGGAAAGTTGCAATGTGCAACCTTCAGATTTATCTGTTGCTATGTGGAGATCCTATATTTTATTGAATTCTATTGTATTGTTCTATTTGTTAAACAAGGTTGTTCCTAATAGCTCAGATAGATTCATTATAGTACTTGGTAATATTAAAAAAAATGTACATTACCAAAGCTGATTAATCTAATACAGTTATCGTCACGAACTTGATAAGATTATTTAAATGAAATGCAAGAACTACTTAGTGACAGGACTACGTATCTGGCGACAAATAAGACCCCTAAAGAAAATCATCTCTTTTAATTAGAATTTGCAGGTTTACTTAAGGACAAAGAACTCATTAAACAACGCATAATTAGACCGCCGTCATTATCATATACGTACAACCTCATTAAAACACTTTAATCCAATCACCCAGCCAGACCAATCGTTTTGTGGGGTTTGTTGCATACAAATTGTTTATATGATTAGTGAATATTTTGATCACATTAATAGGAACGGTATGTACGTCTCAAATTAGGAACAATAACGAATTAATGAACACGTTCGTGTGAACGAATATACGACATGAGTATAGCAAGTGGTGGCGTGATAGCTTTGTTTAGTAAAGTTTATGTAGATGATCTATTCCTCTTGGGTGAATGACCTAGATATAATTAAGAGTTATCTGCATCTACCATTATTGAATTGAACTGTATTAAAGATAAAAACTTTATTTTTAACATGAATATTTTTTATGCTCAAACATTTGGTATAAACAAATGAACAAATCTAGTGTATGTGTGTAGTGTAATGTATTGTCAATGGGTATATCTTTATGATGACTCGGTATAATATCACTGGTATGTATGATTGACAGAAGCATTGTGTATATATAGTGGCTATTTCCGTCAATTCCCCCTTCCACCCCTTGCTATATTAGCCGTAATGGCATAGAACTCACTCCTGATAATTACCTTACATTATCAGGAGCTATTACCGTCAACTGCCCCCCCCCCCCTCCCACCTCCCCTACCCAGTCGCTTGCCTGCTTTGCAACACATCTCAACAAGCAACTCATTATTCTTCTAAACATTATCAAAAGCTGCAACCATTTCCACTAGCAGTAAATCCTGTCACTCAATTTTCAATCCATTCCTAGTCTCCGTGCAGTAATTTCCTAACCATAATTCCTAATACCCAATCCATTTTGTGAGTTCTAATCCTCTCTCACACACAATTCCCCCTCTCTTCAAAAATTAATTCTCAAATCACTACCCTCAAACGCCAATCAGTTTCGTCTGTAAGCTTGTGGTGATGGCCAATCAGCCGACAAAGCAGATTTCTTGAGATTGAGCCAACTAATCAAACGCTGTAGACCTTTCCGGATGTTTGAAGGAATTATAGCTCTCAGGGAGGTAGGTTTGGCTTCATGCCTGACGAGGGTCGAGACGGTGAGGAAGAAGTAGTGAGAAAGAGGAAGAGGTGGTGAGAAAGAGGAAGAGGTGGCGAATAACAACAGGTGAAGGAGGTGTGTATGAAGAAAAGGGTAACGTTTAGAGGACTAAACTTTCTTTCCTATTGGCTATTTCAAAAACACTTCATTCTCTCCCATTGGCTGTTTCAAGAATGCATTATTCTCTCCTATTGGTTATTCCAAGAATACATGCAGAAACGAATTATTTAAAGCTCGACCTCTGACCTTAATACAATCCTAGACATGCTTGAGTGTTTTTCCAGAACGAATTTGTACTGCAAAATATGTTTGTCCTTGACCTGTGACGACGACAGCAACACTGTGACGACGACAGCAACACTGTGACGACGACAGTAACACTGTGACGACGACAGTAACACTGTGGCGACGACAGTAACACTGTGACGACGACAGCAACACTGTGACGACGACAGCAACACTGTAACGACGACAGCATCACTGTAACGACGACAATAACACTGTGATGATAGCAACACAACTCGTAAACCCCAGTAATACCTAACCAATACTTCAATATCAGTTTTACTCTAATTACAAATCCTCAAAACTTGCAAAACATTTTGTTAGCCAAATTCCTAAAAGGTCTTAATTCAAAACTTTAAATAAACAATGAACAGATTCGGACAAATGTTCAAAGTTAAAACCATATCCAGATTTGGATGATTTGTTTTGATTTTGTTTGTGTTAACTTTGATTAATAAACTTCAAAAAACGTGTGTGAGAAAGTGGGTAATATACAAAGAGTTTTGATATACTTTCGAAGTAAGAAAACAGTTGCATTGCCCTTCAAAAACTTAAAAACAACTTTTGCTGCTAATAAGAATCTTACATCTCTTATCCAATTATAAACCTCGCAGAAACTATCTCCGATTGGTATTAGAGCGGCAGGTATCGCCTGGTGCACATCTGGAGTCTTCCCAAGAGGCCCGGCAGACCTTATCAAAAGTCTTGGGTGAAGTACTCTCATCGCTCTGATTCAAGAGTGAATTCCAACCGCAGTTTGACGGCCCCATTGTGGGTGAAACTTTAGATTGCCAGCAACTCAACGGGGATTCAGGAAGGGTGAGGTGATATGGGAGGGGAGACGAGGGGGTGTTGGTGTGTGGGGAAAGTGGAGGGGTGGTAAGGGTGGAGAGTGAGGTGGTGAAGTTTGTTAGCTAAGAAAGTAGTGGAGAAATTTAGAAATGAAAATGAGAAAGGGTGGAGGAGGAAAGGTGGAAGGGAAAGGGGAGTAAGAATGAGGGAAGGGGACGAAAGATAGAAGACGAAGCGAAGAGTAGAGGCAGACAAAGAGACAATCGAAGAATCCACGGGGGGAGTACTCAAACATTTTTTAATTTGGGTTTATAGACAGCTGCTCCTCGCTAGTCCACCCCGGGGTCACTGTCCTCCGCCCACACACCCATCATCTTCCACCCACCATGGCTTCCATGATGGTTGTAGCTCGCCCATACACTTATGGTGGATTTCCCTGACAGTGTTAACTGTTTTCCATCTGCCTTTCATCCGCCTCCCATCTTCCCCTTCCCTTCCATCCGCATATCTCTGGTAACATTGCTCAAGGCTTAATTGGCCCGCCTCACAGATACACTAAAGGGCTCTCTGCTTGCCCTGTCAGTATACCCTGGTCCCTCTGCCTGCCCTGTCAGTATACTCTGGAGAAATATTGAGACATACAACGAAAACGAACCTGCGTCCTTGGACGATCCAGGCACACACACACTATCGACAGTTAAGAGCTCGCTCTCGTGTACACCTCTGGAGATGGATAGTGTCAAAAAGCTGAATGAAAGTATATAGAACACTGTGCAGCACCTACAGGAGACCGGTTCCTGATTACACAGCACCGTCGTGCAGCCTACATCTTAAAAGAGCTTAAAAGGACATTAGGAGTTACTCTGATGCTTCCAACAAGGATTCTCCCAGATATACTTGTAAAAAGGTACAAAAAAATGAAAAAGCTGATTCTAGTAACACGTTTTAGAAGTTTCTGGTTAAGTCTAACACAAGCACTTTTTACGTTTCTTATTAGGAAAACAATTGCATTTTTTAATGAATCTCATAGATACTTGTATTAAAACAACTTAACTCTTGCTCTCTGTACGGGGGTTTGGGGAACGAGGGTTGTAACATCACAACAAAAAATCTTGAGGTGGGAGAAGAGGTGGTGAAGGAGGCGCTGGAGATGAAGGATGAGATGGAGGAGGAAGAGGAGGAGATGGAGGCAGACTTCGATGAACTGGAGATAGAATACGGAAGTAATTCGAAGATAAAAGTATTAACAGAGAAACGAAGAGAAGAATGTACAGTCACCGAAGAATAAAGACGGGAATAGCAGGAAAAATATATATCACAAACAAAAGCACACAGAAACTGTGTTGGAGGGGACCTAAACATTCCCTCTAATGCGTTATGTGTGGTTACCTTTGAGGCTAAGGGTCCCCTTCTTCCAGCCAGAGGCGGTACTCCCTATCACAAACAATATGTATTATTCCAACGCAGCAATACAACAAATACATTCATACAGGAACAATAAGAACTCTTAGAGACAGACTGAGAAAGGGAATAAGAAGGAGACGATAATACTGTAGAGATAAGAGGAGGACGAGGGCAAGTGACAGACGAACATGAGAGAATAAGAAAATATACAGAATGCCACATCCGGGTGTAAAAGAGAGGCAGGCAGGGATGCCTGGCGGATTACGGAATATAGAGTTAACAGACAGCGTGGCTGAGCGTCCTGTGCCACAAATTGCAGGTGTCGCTTCCACCGCGGTGGTCTGTTGAAGGCTCGGCATTTATACTCGCTCAACCATTTTCTGTTACCGCATGCACGCACGCACGCACGCACGCACACACACATACATACACACACACACTCCAATCCCATCGCTACTCTCAAAGGGTTATTGTTCGCTGGCCTGTGTATGACTCGACCCTATCTGGCCTGGAAGATCGCAAGCAATATCTTAAATTTCAACTTAAAGCGAAAACATTACTTTCGAACCTCAGTTTGAAACAGTGAACCAGAAGTGTACGCGTGTCAGCGAAAGTTGTGGCACAAATACGCGCACAGTGCTTCTACTATCTGATCACACCGTGGCAGGAATGATCCCATCCATCTTCGACTATCTTTGAACACCGGTTTGAGGCTTTACGACAAGCGGATTTGCCTCAGCCCTCTTGATCACAGGAGATGCCAGCGAGCACAGAGGGATTTGGCGTGACTGGTTGATAATGCGACCTACGTGTCTGCATTATTATAATCAGCAGCATGTTGCAAAAAATGCACCGTTCTATATATATCGTGATGCTTTGTTCTGAAAGTAATATATCACGATATTGTTGGAACATAAATATAAGTTTAATGAGCCTGCTCAAAAGGAAATATGATAGGCATATAGTAGATAAGGCGATCCTGCTAGCCTCCATACTATAAAAAGTGGTCTGGCATACGCACAGAGGCCAAGACTTAAACATGCACAGTGGCACAGACTAGAGAATGCACAGAAAGCTGGAAGACAATTAATACTACGCCAGTATACAAAAAGAGACCAACCGGGCTGTATGGCCGCTCAAAGCAACAGCTTTACTCCCTGGCCCCCGTGCCGGGCTTATGGAGTAAAAGAACTTCCAAAACCCCATCCAGGTACAGTCCACGAAGTCAGAAACGACGCACTAAAATAAAAAAGAAGTCCAGTCTTCCTTACTTTCATGCCATGCAAGGTGAAAAAGAATCTGGAAACAAGGGACCTTAACATAACATAACTTATCATCATAAATAGATTCAGCGAGGCAACTCCGGCCTCACAAGCGTGACAGAGTGACAGAGCTCAGACAAGACAAAAGGATGAGCTGATTGTATATTGTTGGACACTCAGAAAGCCTTCGATCCTGTGCCCCACGGGAGACCAGAACACTAAATAAAGAAACAAGTAGGTGTAATTAAAGAAGGTGCTCCAGTAAAGCTACACCTGGAATAAGGTGGTGTGATAGTAAAGCAAGAGATCTCAGAGTGGCGAGATATCACCAGCAGAGTTTGGGATAATTTCATTCCTGATCTACGTGAGTGATTTTACTGAGTAAATAGGATGGAAGATTAGGATAAAAGTATGGATAAAATGAATTAAATTAATAAAATAACAGTACAACATATGGCTACCAACCTACTTAGTGTTAGCTGCGGGAATGAAAGTCCCCGCGGATTGGTCTTTGACCAGGTAATCTTCTTAAAATCGAGCTTCTCACTCGAAGGGTCACATCAAACTAATATTATAAGTTGCATATGCATAGATAGCCAACATAATTAACTAACGTGTAGCCTTTCCTTGTAACTCGTACCTCTCAGTTCTGGGGCTAGTCTAGTGACATACTTTTAAATCTTCTCCAACTTTGTCTTGTGCTTCAATAGATATGTACTCTAAGCTGGAGCCGAATATCCCAGGACTGACCTGACAAATGTGACATGAACGTTCTGAATTATTCCTTTAAACAAATTTATAAAGTCAATGTGTGTGCGCACGCATTATGTACATGAACCTGCCGACAGACATGCATGTACCCACGCGCCCAGCGACACTGATGCAGGCATATGTCATGCATTTCCGTGCAATGGAGCCATGACGATGGGTGATTCTCCCCTTCCCCTTTCCCCCTTCCCCCAGGGGTCACGCAGGACTGCCTCTGTCCTCGGCAATTTCACAATTCAGCATCAAATATTAACATGCACCGCCCCCCACAACTAGCAGACAAAGTGCCCAATATATTGCAAGCGCACCCGCACCTTCACCACTTACTGCTATTTTGCTCTCACGGTCGATCAATAATACGTCAATATTAATCATTTTAATGGCAGGACGGATTACAAGACTTCATATACGAGGAATAATCTCCCTGGGGAAAGATAGGGGAGAGGGGAAATGGTAGGTGGGGAAGTGTAGGGGGAAGACGAAGGGAGGGTCGTTGTAGTGAGGGGAGGAAAGATGCTAATGAGGGAGGGAGAGGATGACTGAGAACAAGGAAGTGAGGGGAGAAGGGAAAGAAGGGAAGGAAGAGTCATGTATGAGTAAGGAATGTATAACGGAGGAAGAGGGAAAAGAAACCGAATAGGGGAATCGGAGAACCAAGGTAGGGAAGGAGGGGAGGTAGAGAGAGAGAGAAAGAGAGAAAAAGGAAGGGAAGAGAGAGAGAGGACTGAAGAAATAATAAATAGACAGGAAAATAATGTGTGTGTGTGTGTGTGTGTGTGTGTGTGTGTGTGTGTGTGTGTGTGTGTGTGTGTGTGTGTGTGTGTGTGTGTGTGTGCTCATCTGTTTGTGCTTGCAGGATCGAACACTGGTGGTTGGACCCCGCTTGGTTGTCTAATGTGTGTGTGTGTATACATTCACCTCCTGATAATAAGGTCTTCGCCCCATAAGCCAGATGGCGATAATGAACCTAACGGTATCGGGTCCTGGCAAACTACAAGGTATGAGCCACTTAATGCCTTTCATGCAGGGAAATAATAAGGTGCTTTAGTGGAATGGAGAGGGACGCGTAGTGGCGGCCGCTGCGGGTACTGTACCCGCTTCCCCCTTTCCCAGTGGGCTGTGTTGAGGCGACCAGTGCGGGTAGCAAGCCCGCTTCCTCCTCCCTCTCACAACTTTGCCTGGGCACCGGCGACAAGGCCAACTGCGTGTTCTGTTTCTTCAAAGACTCGCGCTCATTAAGAAGATCAAGTCTTCTATTTCTTAAGCAGTCATCAATACGCTTAGAATATACAGGTTGGCTGGCTAAGTGTTTATATCAGGTTAAACATGCCGTTGGGTTCTATATTCTGAGTATTACTCACGACAGTTAGATTCCCATTATATATAGATTGCCATCATTGATAGGCTGCCTGTTGGGGACAGGCAGCCTGTCTATATACTGAATGTACCCTGAATATACATATCCTGTATATATTCGAGGCTCACCACCCTCCCCCCCACCCTCGACGGTCGATTTACTGACTCACCACAGGATGAAATCCCACAACAGTTGCTTAAATCCCAGGTACCTATTTACTGCTAGGTGAAAAGGGGAATTAAATTATAGGAGATTTGCCGCCCGGGAATCGAATCCGGGATTCCCAATTGTGAGTCAAGAACGGAGCAACACTACAGGATGGGATTACCTTCGTGCACTGAAGACCTCCAACTGACATTCTGTTTAGACACTCGTAAGAGACACGTTTATTATATTACCGGGTTAATTGACGTGGGACGCCTGCATTGTTTCAAGCGTAAGTCAGAGTAATGAGTTTGGGAGGATATGAATTGGACAATCGACTTGAGAATGGTCCAGAACGGACCGAAACGTCGTCGTCCCTTCACCTTCTAGTGTGTGGTCTGGTCAACATACTTGAGCCACGTTATTGTGACTCATCGCCTGCACCTGAATATGAATTGGAGCTCCCTAGTATGAGCAAATAGGCCTTCTGTCATTTCCATTATTCGTATGCTCATCTATCGCTTTCTAGCCCACTTCACAGTTGACCAGGAAGAAGTCACCACAACAGTAAATTTCAGGTGACGCCTAAGACAAATCATTAATGCATGATTATAAAATATATTTACTTTCCTAGTTTTGAGCGCGGGAATATACCTGCTGGTGCTTAGATCTCGCTACAGCGGGCTCTAGAAGCAGCTACACACAGTTGAGAGACAATAGCTTCGACGCACAAACAGGAACAGCTGCACTGAAGGTCGCCAGACAAGTACAGTCATCATTAACTCCACAAGCGACAAAAACACTACAACTAACAAGAACAATATACACTGTAACAGTCCCAGCTCAGCACCACTGAACGAACAGGCAGGAGTCCCAGCTGAGCACAGCTATAGGAACAGCAGCAGCCTGAACAACGGCAAATACGAACATCCAACAAAGAGTAAAAATATATTGCAATTTGCGCGAATGCAGAGGCCAAAGGAGCTTGTTAATTAAAAGAGCTCACTGCAGCAGGGAAAAATGAGATAGTGATGAACTGTGACAAACAGGACGCAGACAGAAGAAATAACGGAAGTTAAATAAACTCGGAAACCGAAAGAGATAACGGAGACACGGATAGATAGAGGAAATAATAAACATGAGAGAGGGAGGCACACTAATCGTGGAAACAGCAAGAGGCGGATGATATTATGGAAGGCGCTAGGGAGAATGGCTTTGGTAACGAGGAGTCGTTGTCACCAACGGTGGTTGGTATTTGGATATGATAAAGGCCGATTTGGAGAGGAAGATGAGGGTGGTGCTTGTGGAGGCTGTGATGACTGTGATCTTTGGCTTGTGGAGGCTGTGATCTTTAGCTTGTGGAGGCTGTAATCTCTGGCTTGTGGAGGCTGTGATCTCTGGCTTGTGGAGGCTGTGATCTCTGACTTGTGGAGGCTGTAATCTCTGGCTTGTGAAGGCTGTAATCTCTGGCGTGTGAAGGCTGTAATCTCTGGCTTGTGGAGGCTGTAATCTCTGGCTTGTGGAGGCTGTGATTTCTGGCTTGTGGAGGCTGTGATTTCTGGCTTGTGGAGGCTGTGATCTTTGGCTTGTGGAGGCTGTGATCTTTGGCTTGTGGAGGCTGTGATCTACGGCTTGTGGAGGCTGTGATCTTTGGCTTGTGGAGGCTGTGATCTCTGGCTTGTGGAGGCTGTGATCTTTGGCTTGTGGAGGCTGTAATCTCTGGCTTGTGGAGGCTGTAATCTCTGGCTTGTGGAGGCTGTAATCTCTGGCTTGTGGAGGCTGTGATCTCTGGCTTGTGCTGCTTTTCTTGCTTCTGTAGTTGATGCTGATCTTCTGCTTTTGCTGATATTGCAGCTGTTGATGCTCTTGCAACAGCTGTTGCTTTTGTTGGTGCAGCTGCTCCTGTTGATGTTGTTACTGCTACTGTTGTACTTGCTGCAGCTACTAATGCTGCTGTTGCATCATTTACTGCTGATACTGTTATTGTTGCTGCTATTTCAGTTGCTATCTCTGTTGATGCATCTAATGATGCTGCAGTAAATAGAAAGAGTAACGAATAAACGAAGAAATTAAAGAAAGACAAAGTAAGAAACTAATGAATGAAATAACCAATGGCACAGGCCACGAACAACTAGATAAAGCGAGGAATATGCTCAAGACTAAACACACAAAATGAGGATACATCAGATAAATGTTGGGTTAAGGTAAAGGTAAGTACAAGGGGCATGCGAGGGGGAAAGAGGGGAATATGGGAATATGGGTAAGGAAGAGGAAGGTATAGAAGAGGAGAAAACATTGGAAATACGTTCGAAGGATTGAAAGAGGGGAAAGGCAGATAAGTGGAAGGTAAAAAGAGGAAAGTAAAAGAATGAAAAGTAGCGAGAAGAAGGTAGACAGGCAAAGGTAAAGATAGAGAAATGTAGAAAGGGGAAAGGTAGGAAGGTGGGAAAGTAGAGAGAAGAAGGTAGAGGGGAAAATAGTGTAAAATGTAGATAGTGGAAGGTAGAGAGGGAAAGATTTAGGTAAGGACGGGGTGAAGGAGAAGCGGGAGGAAGAGCAGGGAGGGAGAGGCAAGGTGAGGGAAGGCAGGCATAGTGGGAAGTGAGGGGAGCAGTAGATGATGTCTCACCAAGCCACTACTTTATCATCATTGCAGGCGGTTGACGTTGCAATTGGTATTATATCGACTGACGCAGGCGTGTTGCAGACCACGGGGGAGCTACCCAGGGTCTACAGGCGTGGGGTGCGTCCTGGAAACGCTCCCACCAAGGGATGTGTGTACTGGGAGAAAAACTGTGCCCTGGGAAAAAGAGTGTCTTTGGGGAAAAGGGTGTGCCCTGGGGATAAAGTCTGCCCTGGGGAAAAGGGTGAGACCTGGGGGAAAAGGGTGAGCCCTGGGAAAAAGGTTAAGCCCTGAGGAAAAGATTGTACCATGCGGAAAAGAGGTGTACCCAGAGGGAAAAGTGTGTGCCTTAGGGAAAAAGAGTTAGCCCTGGGGAAAAGAGTTAGCCCTGGGGAAAAGAGTGTGCCCAAGGGGAAAAGAGTGTGCCCAAGAGGAAAAGAGTGTGCCCAAGGGGAAAAAGGGGATGATTTGAAAACTTTGTCTATATTTTTTACAATGCTTCTCTCTCTTCTTACTGCCACTGCCCTCCCCCTCTTCCCACCTGCTACAATTCAACCCCTATAAGTGTTTAGTAATGCAGATGGGACGAGGGGACAAGAGACCAGATGGTATCTACTCCATGTGGGAAATGCAAATACATGGACAGGTAAGAGAAAATGATTTGATGAGTATTAATGATTCTAGAGCTTACGCCGGAGGTACACATAAACTGGGTAACATCACCGGCATGTGGGAGGTTGGTAAATATTAGAGCAGCATTTATAAACCTATATTAGGACTTGTACGAGGCCAGTACTGGAATATGTAGCACCAACTAAGCTTCAAAGCGTGCAGAGGTTTGCAACAAGACTGATGTCTGAATTAAAATGACTAAGCTTCGAGAGGAGGTTTGGAGAACTCCATCTCACAAACCAAGAGGAGAGGAGCAGATGGGATATGATCAATAGATACAAAATACTGTGGGGTAAAGACAAGTAAAACTAGTGTCTTTAATGTGAAATAATAAAGGGCAAGAAAACACAAGTGGAAGTTGCAAACGTAATTGATTAGAAGTGTTAGGAAATACTTGTATTTTACATGGGTGGTCAACAATTGGAATGCACTAAAAGAAGCCGTGGAAGCCATCTACATCCACAAATTCAAAGCCAGATACGACAAAGAACTCGAACATCAGTAAAGCTAAAAAACAAAAAGCGCAACAGGTACACAAGGTCAGTAGGCGGGACATAGAGAGCCAGACTTCACTTTCCCGCAGTGACTGTTGACGTAGATAAACACTACCTCTTCAGCCCCATACTCTGTAGCACTAATAAATTAATAACAGTTCTTGAGATGAACTGTCTCTGCACCCTTCCTTTCCTACAAGTTTCCTCTCAGCCAAAGAATTTCATTACCATAATGTCACTTCAACACATTATGGTAATGAAATTGTATGGCGCACAAAGAACAGAGGCATTAGATATACCCAGAATGCGTCCCACTTTATGCTACTCAGCTAGTAGCAGGAACAACGCACTTGTCGGCACCTACATGAAGACCGGCATGTCATACAAGGAACGGAATCACTGATAGTTCTCACAAAAATAACTAACCTGTCATACGTGGAGCAGCAGCACTGAATGTACACGACCTGTGAACACCTGTCACAAGCCTCAATCACATATCGTTATCGTGTTGGGTGTGAATTTCTCGTGGAACGAGAGAGTTCACAAACGAAATTTTGGTGTGCAATTTGAAAAGTGATGCTCTGTTATCACTCAAATGTGTGATAACCTGAAGATATCATAATTAAAAATGTGATTATTGTAAGAGAACACCACATTACGATTATATGAGCTGACATGTCACGCTAATCAGAGTTATTTCCGTGATACCTCATGAGGTAAGTGTGAATCCTCATGGTATTCACACTTCCCCTGTGAAAATGCTCCATAAGGATTCCTGGAAAATCCTTATGGGGCATTACTGGCTCCATGCGGCTCTCATGATCTGTTAAAGACAGCCCTCACTGTATACCCGAAGGTACGTGTTCAAGGTGTGCTGGTCACTGCCACGGCTGCTACCTCTTACTGTTAATTTCATCTCACCATTATAAGGAGGTCTACTCTGACATGACATTTTCGTTCTATTTCTGCGTCTAATCATTGCTTCGATTTGATGTGCATACTGATGTTTTATTTTGCAAATGAGTGAATTTATACTTTGACCCCCAGGTGATTACATAGTGCAAATTAAAATAAGCACACAAATCAGGTGCTATATTAAAAGGTGTTAAGTAAGTTTTAACTCTATTTAACGGTTTAATATAACTGCTATTAATGTACACTTATTTTCATTGCATTTACATCTCAAGAATAAATGAAAATAGCAAGAAGCGAAGTTTTAATACCAATCTACTGTACTGTACTATTTTCTTAAGTCTAATGGTATTTACACAAACGGTTATTAATGGGGATGGGGATTGAGAGGGAGGTGAAGTAGGGTAGGGGTGCAGAAAGTCTGAATCTTAAATTGGACTAAAGGTTGAGCGAGAAAGGTAAAGTTTGCCGTCTTTTACTGCTTAATAGTTGATTCCTTTAGCACTTTTTTGGGAGGGGAGAATGTGCTTAAGAATGTGCTAAAGGTGTACAAGGAGAAGAGCCAGTGTGCAAGCAACAGGTACATAAGGAGAAGGGCAAGTGTGCAAGAGACAAGTACACAAAGAGAAGGGCAAGTGTGCAAGAGACAAGTACACAAAGAGAAGGGCAAGTGTGCAAGAGACAAGTACACAAAGAGAAGGGCAAGTGTGCAAAAGACAAGTACACAAAGAGAAGGGCAAGTGTGCAAGCAACAGGTACATAAGGAGAAGGGCAAGTGTGCAAGAGACAGGTGTACAAGTAGAAGGGCAAGTGTGCAAGATCTTGCCCGAGACAGGTACACGAGGAGACGGAAAAGTGTGAAACAGAACTGAGAGAGCAAGAGGGACGCAATCCCTCTGCAGGTTCTGGTGCTGATGTACCTGCCACGCCAACTTCGTCTCTACTGCCCCGGATCACAGAGACCAAAGTGGGGTTAGCAGTCCTCTCTGAGGCAGACAGAGTCTGTGTTATCGAGCCGTCGTGGGGGAAGATAAAGCCCCCATTGATACGGCATTAATCAACATTACTCTTATTAGACTTCCACCCATTAACCCACGTCGCCAGATCCATTTTTCGGCAGGTGTAGGCTAATTGGGATCGAAATATGGAAGATTAATGCTGGAATTATGTAAGCAGCCTTACGCATGCGTGGAACTAAATATTATTACGTGTTGTGTAATAGGGAATATTGTATAATGTAATAATCTCAGGAGAAAAATCGAGAGATGATGTACAACTGGTAATGTATTAAGCTTATGTCTATCTCTTCACCAATTTACGGAAAAATAGACCTCAATTCCGAGGGATGTAGAGGTCTATCTCTCTCACACGAGGAGAAAAGGATTTAAACTTGGGATCCAAAGGTCATAAGCAGGATCCAATCTTGATCCTGAGACCGAATGGGATCCGATTCTGAGCGATCTCATTGGCTGACGCGTTTCCTGTCATTTATTGGATGGTTGTGGGGTTCTGAATGCTCATTGGCTGAATGGGTTGTAGAGCTTTCATTGACCGTTCGCGCAAAGCCCTAGAAACGGATTTAGTTTTTCTCGTAAATCCACAGAATATATTATATGTTTCAACATGGAAAACACTCGACAGTAGAAAATAAAACAGAAAACACCAAGTTGGGAACAAGCAGGTATACAATGCTGACAACCAAGTTATCGTCTCACGAAGTTGTTTCACTAAGTTTAAAACTTCAGATATTACTTTCAGGAACTTAGTGGACAGTGATACGCAACAGTAAAACAAAATAAAACAAAAATGATTTTAATGTGGAACAGATGAAATATAAACATTATCATCACCAGGTGAAGGAGGCACAAATGAACGTCAAGGAAAGATTTCTTCCCCACGGTAACGGAAGCCAAACTTGCCTTGATAAAGAAATACCGTATCCGTCCGGAGTCTTGACAAAATGTGTTGAGAGTACAGTGGCGCGGAGAGCTCATAGGAGGACCTTTAGGAAGACGAGTTTTTCATCCTTGTTTCATCTGAGTTCCGAAATGCGAGTTCAAGTCTGGGAACTTTAAAACTCGCGTTCCCACAGGCGCCACATACGATGGAAACATAATATTGGATTATATTGAAGTTTTTTTTACTCATACGCGTTTAGTGAGACCCTGGAGTCAGCAAAATGCCCATATATATGTGTCAGCGCACACAGTCTGCGGTTGACAGTCTTTCAGCTACTGAGAAGGGCCCACCCTCGTCTTTTATAAAGGCCAGTTATCTGTTAAGGAGAACCAGTCAGTTATAAGAAAGACCAGTCACCGGTCCTCTCATTTAAGGAATGCCAATCAGCAGATGAGGGACTAAGTGATGAGGAAAAGATTGGAAGGGAGAGATTGTGGTATAGGGGTATTTATATAGGAATATAGTGGTTCAGAGCAGAGGTACCGAAGAAGGGCATTGAGAGATATGTCTGGGTTGTGATGTAGAATGAGGTTGGAAGGTAGACAGAGGCTGACAGGAGGAGAGCTGAAGGCATAGATGGGAGGAAATGTAAAGAAGGCAGAGAGAGGGGGGCTTACAGGCAGACAGGTGTTATCAGACAATGCTTGGCTGAGAGTCAGAAATGGGCAGAGAGGCAGAAGAGGTTGACAGAGAAGGGTTTACAGGCTTAAAAAGGTTGATAGGCAATGATTGGCTGAGAGGCAGGAGGTCTATGAAGCAGAGTGGGCCTGAGAAGCAAAAGGGGACTGAGTGGCAAAAAATGCCGAGAGATGAGGACAGTAGGAATGGGGGTAGTGGGGGACGGGTGGCACAGGAGTGTTGGGGTTATTGTGGATGGTTGGTAGATGGTAATCAATGGCCAATGTTTTCCTGTCCTTTTTTTATCCATTTTGTCTCAATACGAAGCGCCCTACAGTTTTGTTGACCACACTCTCATGAATTTCCTTATTAACATATTGTAATACTTATAGACATCATGTGATACATGTTCTTCTGTATTTATATTATATAGTTTATTTTCAGATTTCCTAATTCGGTTTCCGTAGTTCTCAATATTTTTTACATATACATAAATTCTCAAATTGTGTGTACTCACCTAGTTGTACTCACCTAGTTGTGTTTGCGGGGGTTGAGCTCTGGCTCTTTGGTCCCGCCTCTCAACCGTCAATCAACAGGTGTACAGATTCCTGAGCCTATCGGGCTCTGTCATATCTACACTTGAAGCTGTGTATGGAGTGAGCCTCCACCACATCACCCCCTAATGCATTCCATTTGTCAACCACTCTGACACTAAAAAAGTTCTTTCTAATATCTCTGTGGCTCATTTGGGCACTCAGTTTCCACCTGTGTCCCCTTGTGCGTGTTCCCCTTGTGTTAAATAGACTGTCTTTATCTACCCTATCAATCCCCTTCAGAATCTTGAATGTGGTGATCATGTCCCCCCTAACTCTTCTGTCTTCCAGCGAAGTGAGGTTTAATTCCCGTAGTCTCTCCTCGTAGCTTATACCTCTCAGCTCGGGTACTAGTCTGGTGGCAAACCTTTGAACCTTTTCCAGTTTAGTCTTATCCTTGGCTAGATATGGACTCCATGCTGGGGCTGCATACTCCAGGATTGGCCTGACATATGTGGTATACAAAGTTCTGAATGATTCTTTACACAAGTTTCTGAATGCCGTTCGTATGTTGGCCAGCCTGGCATATGCCGCTGATGTTATCCGCTTGATATGTGCTGCAGGAGACAGGTCTGGCGTGATATCAACCCCCAAGTCTTTTTCCTTCTCTGACTCCTGAAGAATTTCCTCTCCCAGATGATACCTTGTATCTGGCCTCCTGCTCCCTACACCTATCTTCATTACATTACATTTGGTTGGGTTAAACTCTAACAACCATTTGTTCGACCATTCCTTCAGCTTGTCTAGGTCTTCTTGAAGCCTCAAACAGTCCTCTTCTGTTTTAATCCTTCTCATAATTTTAGCATCGTCCGCAAACATTGAGAGAAATGAATCGATACCCTCCGGGAGATCATTTACATATATCAGAAACAAGATAGGACCGAGTACAGAGCCCTGTGGGACTCCACTGGTGACTTCACGCCAATCGGAGGTCTCACCCCTCACCGTAACTCTCTGCTTCCTATTGCTTAGATACTCCCTTATCCACTGGAGCACCTTACCAGCTACACCTGCCTGTCTCTCCAGCTTATGTACCAGCCTCTTATGCGGTACTGTGTCAAAGGCTTTCCGACAATCCAAGAAAATGCAGTCCGCCCAGCCCTCTCTTTCTTGCTTAATCTGTGTCACCTGATCGTAGAATTCTATCAAGCCTGTAAGGCAAGATTTACCCTCCCTGAATCCATGTTGGCGATTTGTCACGAAGTCCCTTCTCTCCAGATGTGTTACCAGGTTTTTTCTCACGATCTTCTCCATCACCTTGCATGGTATACAAGTCAAGGACACTGGCCTGTAGTTCAGTGCCTCTTGTCTGTCGCCCTTTTTGTATATTGGGACCACATTCGCCGTCTTCCATATTTCTGGTAGGTCTCCCGTCTCTAGTGATTTACTATACACTATGGAGAGTGGCAAGCAAAGTGCCTCTGCACACTCTTTCAGTACCCATGGTGAGATCCCATCTGGACCAACCGCCTTTCTAACATCCAGATCCAGCAGGTGTCTCTTGACCTCCTCTCTCGTAATTTCGAACTCCTCCAAGGCCGCCTGGTTTACCTCCCTTTCTTCTAGCACAGTGACCTCACCCTGTTCTATTGTGAAGACCTCCTGGAACCTCTTGTTGAGTTCCTCACACACCTCTCTGTCATTCTCTGTATACCTGTCCTCGCCTGTTCTAAGTTTCAATACCTGTTCTTTCACTGTTGTTTTCCTTCTGATGTGACTGTGGAGTAGCTTTGGTTCGGTCTTGGCTTTGTTTGCTATATCATTTTCAAAATTTTTCTCTGCTTCTCTTCTCACCCTGACGTACTCATTCCTGGTTCTCTGGTATCTCTCCCTGCTTTCTGGTGTTCTGTTATTCCGGAAGTTCCTCCAC